TCCCATCAGTATATTAAAGATTCATCACAGATATCAGTTCCAGCTCCACATTAATAACCATGAGGACAGGTAACAGCCTCAGCAACACCACCATGTGCTGGCTCAGGGGGTCAGCAGGGAAAGACCTGAAAACCTCAGTGGTGGCAGAGACAAGCCCCAGACTGTCACCTGCTTTCAGATGTGAAACCCTCCAGCAGGAATATGAATATCTATGGACCAGTGGCACCAACTGGGCACGTGAGTTAAGGAAGTACAAGGCAGGAGAACAAGACAAGATGATGTTAAAATCATACATTTTCAGTTTGAAGAAAGAATCAGATTTTGGAAGGTGAAGTGCTCCCATGTCAGTGTCTGTACACGAGACAGGGCAGGTGAGCAGCCAGGAAAGAACCCCTGGGTGGAAGGGAAGGCTTTGTTCCTCTACTTTTGAGTTGAGAAATATGGTTAGGTGGAAGATACAGGACACTGAGGATGTGCCATTAGTGCTCTAAGTAATTTCTTCAGAGTTTTTATCTAGAAATATTTAACACTTAAGTTCAAAATAACAACACAAATTTCACTAGAAAAATTGATTTTAAGTATAGAAAAACTCATGCTTAATCATGTAACTACAAGGCTTTTAAGTTTTTCAAACTGATTTATCACAGGTACAAGTTTCGGTTAGCTTTCCTCCAAGCATCCCTTTCACATCCACACTTCTCCCAGTCACTGTGCAGCTTCCCACCTGGAGTGGGACACAGAACTTGTTTGAGCTTAAAGAATAGCCAAGAATTGCTGATGGTGCTGAGGAAGCCCCCCACAACCTCTGAGTGCCAGAATCATCCCTGCAAGTGTTGTCTTCCTCCACCTGCATCATACTTGGAGGCTGATGCTCGCAGCTCCACATTTGGAAGCAAGAGATGGCAGTTGCTGCCACTGCTTGAGCTGGGAGCTCCCAACCCAGCTGAATTCCCCTTCATTTAATATCTCTTGCTTCCAAACACAGCCAGAGACACCGACAGGCAACCTCTGACTGAGTCAAAGGCTCTACTCTGTGCACAGCGTTGTCAGAGATCCTCCATGGCTAATAAGATAACGATGCCATTGATAACACATCTTAAATTAAGGGTTACGAAGAGCTGAGACAATAAATCCACTCAGCTTCAGATAGCCTACAGAAACACGACCTTTTCTCCATCGTTTATAATACAGAAGGCTGAAGAGAGCACCCAATCCAATTATGTGTGTATTTACCTAATCCACCAGTGAAAGGCCTTTACATCTCCTTAATTCCAGCATTCTGCTCAGGCAGCAGTCACATCCCACCCAGAGGGAAGGGTTTGATGACTGCCGTGCGTGAGCCCCACTCCTTGGCTTGGTTATCACCTTCTCCAGCCCCTGCTCACTGCCCTCCCGTGTAATTAAGCACAGACATTGTCTTCCTGCTGGATTATGAAGTCGTTAAGGCAGGTATCATCTTTTTGAGCTATGACTGTACAGTATCTAACACAGCCAGAGCCTAATCCTTGGCTGGAGCTCCTAATCACTGCAGTACATTTCTATAATGAAGATATTTCATTATCAGCTGTAAACTGAAGAGTCAGCTCTCAGTTTTCTGGGATAACTGAAGGACAGATATCTAACAGGGGAATAAAAAAAAAAAATAAAAAAGGTTAGAAAGGCTCATATAAACTGAGCACAATATGCCTTCACAGTTCATGTATGAAATTACTGAATGAAGCCAGCATTCTCAGAGCCAGGTTTCCTACTGGCACCCAGGGCAAGTCCCAGCCTTGCCAGCCTCCAATGGCAGGCTCCCATACTCAGAATGGAACAGCAAAGAGTGAACTTTGGAGTTTTACCCAACATTAAGTCTGGTCTCAGTTTTTTGGGTAAAAGCTACAGAATATGTAAACCTCGAGATTGCTTCCAGAAAACCTTTTTCTCATAAGAGAAGCAGATGAAGTAAGAAATAATAATTCAATAAATCAGACAATCGTAGTCTTCAACAGGTCTATGTTTGCATAAACTGTGCCTTACCAGACAGTAACATAGGTCACTTGGAGATGGTTTCCCCTTTTCCTTGCCCTGCAAAGCAAAATATGATTTATATTCTGTTTGCAGGCGAGCCAAGTAAAATGCTCAATTATAAATAGCTCTTGTAAATATAATCCTTCCAACTGGAATATTTGTACACGATCTTAATAATGATTTCAGTTACAAAACCTAATTAGATCGGTTCCTCATCCCAGCCCAGGCCCCATGCAATGCCCAGTGCAGGTTGGCACTTATGGGATATGAGCCACCCCACAGCAAACCCTCAGTAGATGCAGGTGTCCCAACTCCACCAGGTCCAGTGAGACTATGACAGCCCCAAAAATGATCTAAGTGTTCCCCAGTATAAGTGGAAACCAGGGCCCATTATTTTTATTTATGTAGAGCCAAAACACACACTTCCTAAAGCTAAGTCTGCATTCAGCAGATGAAATATTTTTATAACTTAGCCACCAAGGTTATAGAGAGGTAGAGGGGAATGTATATCAATGCTGATAGGAGCTTTTTCCCCAGATGTATTTACTAGGATAGATCATCTTCCACAGGTAATGGGACACGAGACATTACTTTTATGCTCAGTCTAATTGCTCAGCCATCACGAGGTGCTACCAAGTTGGGAAGCACTAACTCCAACTAATCGAGCTTCAGACTCGAGGCCACCAAAAACTGCGAAGCTGAAACTACAGATTAAAGATGACATTTAAGAGCCAAGAAGACTGTGATAGAAAGCTGAAAACGTTTCAATCAGGAGAGAGCATTTACTACATCTGCTGTGCCAGGGCTTGGCCATCCAAGGAACCTGAAGTACAAATGACCAGAGGAAGAAGAGTAAGAGCTAGTTGTATGAAATTAGACTGCTTTGCTTTTTTTGAGAGTTTGTTCCTGCTCTTTGCTATCACAACTCAATGTATGATAACAAATGCAGTAGCACACACAGTTACTTTGACATCAAACCAAGAATAATTACAAGCGAGGCCCGCATGAATTGCCTTCAAAAAACAAGAGACTTCCATTTTTATAACACTGTCCCTTCTCACTGAGAGCAGAGAAAAACCTTCGAGTTCAGTGTTAAATCAAAATTTACTTCCAGAGAGGCACAGGCTCTCCTACAAAGGCAGCATCTTCACCTGGGAGCAGGCAGATACCTCATAGTCCCTGGATTCCCTGATGAAACCATTGGAAAGAGCAGCAGAAAAGAGAGCAGCATCTCAGGCTAGGATTGGGCAATCCAAACAGCCTGGGATTACGGAAAGGTTTGTATCCCATCAGGCAACAAACTGCCATAACCCAAATCCATGCATCACACCCAAGCAGCTCCCCAGAGGCTCCCCTCCATCGCCTCCAAAATACCAGAGCTGTATACAGCTTAACCATACGAGTTCAGAGGGCATCAGCCCTGGCAAAAGTGAGAGCCTGAAGGATGAGCCCCACTATGAGCAGCACCTTGGAAACTCCTCTTTTGTTCTCATGGAAGGTAGTTCAGACTTGTACCTAAACACTGGAGGTAAGCCAATATCTGCGCTGTGCTCAAGCTCTGCTATACAAAATAGCACATGAAACAGCACTAAAGATGCACGGAATCAAAGGCAAACTATTTCACAAGATCTAAGACAAGTTAAACCACTGAAATAAAACCATAGCAATGCAAGGGAACACAACCAGCTCCGGATGCATCAGGTGCAGTGACTCAAGTAATGAAGATTTTGCTCTTAAGGGCCACACAAGGGCACTTGCACACAGGCATCACCCCCAGCCCTTTGGTAAAGGGGGAACAAGGCTCTTTCTTAAAAGCACCCACGAAGCCAAACCTCAGGAAGGACAAAGCTGGCAGGGCTTTGCCGAAGGAGATGCTAACAACTATCAGCACAGATGGGCTTTAAACCTCAGAAAGATGGGCTTTAAACCTCAGAAAGGCACTCAGCAGCCTCAGGTCCTCCTTTCTGCTATGGAAAAGCACAGGACAAAAATGCTTTCAAAACAATGTTGCTTCTATCCATTAACCAACATATTTATTAAATAACCAGATGAGGACAGTATGAGCAAACAGAGAGACATTTAGATATGCTGATTTGTACATCCAGAAAGACCTACCGTGCAATGATTACACAGTTGGTTAACTTTGGGGAGAAGCTTCACCTTTTTATTAAGAAAAAGGAATGCAATTATAAGTTTGGTGTGAAACAATTTATCCCACACTCGGTATTTCTTTCTCTCCATCAGTTTATTGCTTCAAAATTATTTATCTCATTATTTATCTCTCTGTTTGTTTTTGAAGGACATCTTTCGTGCCTCCGAGCCACTTTATTCATTAGTTCTCCAGAGTTCATGTCCCATTTCATTATGTTTTAATCTTTACAGTTGTTAATTTGCATTTCATTTCCTGTAGCAGCAAAAAAAAAAAAAAAATTACTAACAAAAAAGTTATTGTAAATATTAATACAAGTCAACCGATAATCATCCAGGGAAGCATCGTACAGCAATAACAATTACCTGCGTCTGAGGCAGAAAAAGGCAATTCTAGTAATTATAGCAAGGAAAAGCACTTTTGAAAGGGCACAGCACCTTCTCAGAAGTGCTGCTGGGCCATTCTGAAGCAGCACTTGTAATTAACAAGGGCTTACTAAGAAGAGGAGCTGCCCCAAGGGACAGCAAGGTCTGCACGGTGATCTGAAGGCCCCCAGGAGCTGGGCTGCCTCCTACCCCACAGTCCATAGACTGCAAGCAGCTGCTTGACTTACAGCCTAACTATAATGCTTGCTTATAAAAACAGCACTCCAGACCAGAGAAAAAGAAAAACCTACAATCTTAAACCAGGAAAGCAAGCAAACCAAGCATGTGAGGCTGCTCTCTCGTGCACAGCTTCCACCACCAGCTCTCAGCACCGCACTACAATTTCTATTTTCTCTTAGAGAGAAACATGTTCAGTGCAGCTTAAAGACCAAAAAGAACATGAAAACATAACTCACCCCAACCATCCTGCAGGCTCCAAGCTGTGCTGGTCTGGGCACAGGACAAAGCAGCACATCACCTCCAAGAGAGGTGTCTTTACCCAAATGGAGCAAGTAATTTCAGTTGTGGGTAATTACCCTCATTAGATAAATACTAGGCAGACTCATTAACTTTCACAGAAAAAAGCCCTGAGTGACCCAAAATATGAGTGGTGAGCTGCAGCCTGGCCTGGCTCCTGTGTTAAGCATCCACAGCTGTGAGAAGTTACAGAGGATAAGGGCTGCCAGGAGCTGCTCATTAGAAAACCCCCACAAAGGAGAACAGGGGAGAAAGGGCTCTGGTATTTAGCCTTGCACCTTTGCACCTTTGCACCTCTGCTTCTCCCCTCCGAAGTCCCCATTTTATCCCATGGAGAATCCCACAAGCCATGCTGCCTGTTTCAGTGTCACTGCACTTCCCCGGAACACGGCTGTGCATCCATAGGGGAACAGTCACTACAGAGCAGGTTCTGAGCAGAGCCTAACAAAGCCTTGCCCAGACATCCAGCTCTCTGGTGCTGGAGGGAGGATTGCCTCTAATTCCTCACACCTGTTGAGCCTTCCTAACGGCTCCATCAGGTGGTACCAAAGCATCCATCTAAGCCACTTCTCCGTCCATCACAGACAGCTGCACAGAGAAATCAGACAGCTCGATGGGCTTAGCCCTCATAAAAAAAAATGGATGAGGTGTTTCTCTTAATGCTCTTCCTCTCCAGCTCCTCTGAGATCCCACAGGTGATTTGCTGGGCAGCAGCTCTGCACCATGCACGTGGCACGGGGCCTCTCAGCAGCCAACCAAAGGGGCTGTTAGGAGAACAGAATGCCCAAAGAGCTTTGCCCTGATCAAGTCCTGAAGACTGATCTGAGGAAGAAATGAAATCCTTGTGATGAAGAGCCAAAGAAACACTGCAGAACATTTCTGTAACGCGCCAGTATAAAACTAAGAAGTGAAAGGAGCCATTGCAAATGCAGCCCTGGTGCCTGCTGAGTGTTTGCTGTGTAGGAAACAATCATTTCGTATCAGTGAAAATGCACCCTTCATACATCATTTCCCTTGTACTTTTACACCATAGTGAATAATAGAACAGGAAAAGGATCAAAACAGCCCTTGCTGCTGCTGGAGTGGATTCAGGGTGAGGTGGGGCAAGGAGCCCATGTGCTCCCAACCAAACCCCATCCATCGCAGACCCCTGCAGGCCTGTAGCAAGATCACAGCCCCATTTCCTTTCCCCCAACACTCGGAAACAAATGTTACATTATTTACTAAACAAAACCCTGTTCCATACACTAAAATACTTACAAAAAGTCTCCTAGTTTTTTGATTGCTTAATTGCTCTCTGTAGCACTAAGGATCTTAGCTCAAAATTAGCCTCCCCAGTAAAATCTGGAAAATAGAACCTTCCTAGGCAAGAGATCTGAGATCATTTATGGTGACCGTTAACTGAGAGAAGCTTTGGGGCTGATTTCAGACATGCTCATCCTCATGGATTTTCCCTTGCACGAACATGAATTTATTTCAGGGGAGTTTCAACATTAATGTCATCCCATGATTTTTTTTTCTCCTGTGTCTTAGAGGAAGGGAAAGGTTGGGGTGAGGGAGTGCCCTGCAGAGCCCCTGCAGAACAGACCCGCTGTCCCACAGAGCTGGGAATTTCCACATTTCCCGAACCATGCATTTTCTGGAATAATGAGCCAGGTTTTGCTCTCCCTAAACAAAGTCTGCAGCAATGCCACGTGAGTTCTGCTGGGCGTTAGGGTGATGCAGCTGCAAGCAGGGAGGCTTTAGCTGGCAGATAAACCACATTTGGCAGAGCAGTCCCTGATTCTGCACTGGCTGTGCTGATATTCAGGTGAGAAAAGCACAGGAGGATAGATGAATTTAAAAAAGGTATATGTCTCAAGCAAGATGGAACCAAAATAACAGAAGGACCCACGCAAGTGTTAGGCAAAGACAACAGCCCCATCCCTGTTCCAAGAGCTTTAATTTGGGGTGAGTTTACTCCTCTTCTCCCTTTTCCCAGGCCCATTCAGGACAAGCTGGCACCAGTTCTTTAGCATCATGCACACACAGTGCTGAGAGGGAAGCCAAGGCCCCCACTCTGACCAGCTTAAATGTTGAACAAATGCACAAAAGCTCTCTTAATCACCCTCAGTTTTGCTTTCTTTTTCCCTCCCTCCATCCCCCCCTCAAATCCATCTCCATGGATCCTGAAAACCTCGGGAGCAGCTCAGGGTTTTAAGCAGTTCACACCACTGCAAATCCTCTTTAGCCCCACTCTCCGTTCCGTCTCTGCTGCACCCAAGCCCTCCCTGCCTGGCTGCTGCCTCCATTCTGCTTGCTCACTGCAAGCTTTCCAAAGCTCTTCCAGACTCGTGCAGGGTTTCATAGACTCATTCAGGTTGAAACGACCACCTCAATTCCCCAACCCCAACCACAGCCCACCCCACCTTGCCCACTGACCACGTCACCCAGTGCCACATCCCCACGGCCCTGGAGCACCTGAGGGACAGGGACTCTCCACTCCCTGGCTGCCTGTGCTGACAGCTCTTTCAGAGAAGAGGGAATGAGGTCTGAGCCAGCTCCCATAGAGCCTCCGTGCAGCCGTGCCCTCGACGTTACTGCAGTTCCCTGCCCAGTGGTAACAGCAGAGCACACCTTTTGACTTTGGCTTGTGAAACGATCATTAGCAATGATGCATCAAAACGTTTTTGATGAGCGAATGATAAAAGTAAACAGGATGCAGTAATCGTCGGGCTTATTTACAGCGAGGTGAAACACCGCCGTTGTCAATTTTGGAAAGTGACTTTGAAGGAACTTTCTAAAGGGGATACTGAGATTGCTTCCTCTCCTCCACCTGCAAACAACCATAACCATTATTGATAGCATTTCTAAAATGGCAGGTACATAGAAACAGAGACTCTTATTTTCTGTCAAAATTGTTTTATAGTGCCATTTTTTCCCCTTGTTTAAGGCGGCAGCACTCATTTACAACATTAAACAACGTGATTTATGTACTTTAGCAGAGCTTACTACATTTAAATGTTTGGGGCATTTCATTTTTACAACATACCTTGTTCCAATATAATCAATGTGCTTTTTTCTTGGGCTGTGATAGGAATGCAGTTTGTGTTTTATAGCAAAATCAATATAAGAATTAATGGGTGACGAACAAAGTAAATTGTAAAAAGCACATAGGGGTTGTGAGATCTCTTTTGCTGCATCGATTCCATTAGCATTAGGCTGCCCGGTTGTACACGGTTCCGTATTTGATGAGCGAGCAGCAGACTTCATATTCTGCTGAAGAGAAAATAGGCAAAGTCCAGTACTGAAATAACTACGCCAAAGTCACTGAGGTTAAAGCAGGAATGGACACGAGCCAAGGGGATGCTGGCACACAATGCGCTTCAGAAGCAGCGGCCGTAAACATCAGATGGTCATGAACAAGGCCACTCTGACTTTAATTACAGGCTGTGATATTCGAGTGATGACATTGTTTGTAACATTGGGTTATCTGTTCATTAATTCGCTCAAAAAATAAAAATAACAAGAAGACAACACTACTCTAGGCTTCCTTGCTGGTGGAGGAAAGGCAACATTTAAAAAGAAGAACACAACAAAAAAAAGCCAACCACCTGCATGCAACCTAGATTTCTTGTTAAAGCCATAAACAAGGAGGAGCTGCAGCAAGAAACAAGCAATGTCATCCAGAAAACATTTTTCTTATCCAGGGCCTCTTCTCTTTCCTAAACTTGCCTCTTGCTCCGAACATAAGTACACGTGTTAGTGCCCAGAAAGGCACTCCTCTAAGTATTTCAGGAGCCCATTTCCCCTGTGTCCCCCTGGAGCCAAAGCAGTGCTGCCCCATGCATCAGGAGTCCCAGCCCCCCTCAGCCCCTGGGACACCCTGCAGGGCAGGGGGTGACACTGCAAAACACTGGCTGCCCTGCAGCCCTCACATGCTCAGAGTTACAGAAAACCAGCAGATTTGGACCAGGAATGGCTGCAGGCACCTTTCCAAGTGTCCAGCTAGCTCTGCTACATTTCTCTGTCACACACCGTCCAAGTTGCAGTGATGACCTTCCACCTTCTGACATCTATGATCATTCCAATTCTGAATAACAGATTAGATGCATCTGTCCATTTTGCAGCATTACATCCCAAATAACCCAACAACAGAACTGCTCTCCAAATCAGGCTGTAGATATCTCACACCGCCAACAGCAGAGCATTCCGGGGTGCAGTGACATCTGTTACTGTCCTCATCTATTCCCTCTCCTTTGGGAAGACCTTTTTCATTTTCATAATCATCAACAGGTTTTAATGGATCCTATCAAACAGGCTCAGGTACAGCAGGCATAGCACAGGGCTTCTGCAAGAATATTATCCTCCGAATGTTCAAAATTGTTTTTACATGGCGCTTATTGTTCTCTCTTAGTTATTTGAAGTTGGGAAGTTTATCGCTCTTTGGGAGCGAAAGAAGTTAATTATATTCCATTTCAAAACAAATTGTTGATACAGGCTCCAAGTGTCAGTAATTAGATAATTTCACAGTGCACATTCCATTACCACTGTCATACTTAATGACTGTTTATTTGAAGAGTCCTTCTAGCACCGCAGCTACCCTGGCACTAAATACAATAATGGATGGCATGATCGGTGAGCTTCACCCATTGCTCTCATATTTACAGGAATGAGTCCTAGAGGAATTTCTACTCAAACGTGGAGCTTTAGATGGCAGGGATTAAAATGCTGGCCTTAATGAAATCAGTAATACAACACTCATTGACTTCCCAGGGTTTAAATGTAATCAGTTCCTTATAAGTAAAGATGATTAGTGACATAAACTACATATTAAATAAACCATTATCGTGAGCTCTAGCCTGACTTAGAGCACCAAGAGGACTTCTGCTGTAAAAAGATCCTGCTTACTCCTTCTTGGACTCTTTCACATGGCTAAAAATGTGCAAAGTGATAGGGCAGGGGATGAGTGAAGTGCCCCCATACTCCACACCCAGCCCCAGTGCTGGGTAACACACAGCCCCCCCCCCTGCCCACAGCCCCCTGCCTTCCCCAGGCCCAAAGGCACCTCGAATTTGGGGCCTCACGCAGTGACATCCAGCATGGTGTTAATGAAGCAAAGAACAA